CTGGGGGAATGTTTGTTCACCAGAGCGCCCCAAAAGATGACAAGGTCAAACATCACAAACTCCTCCATGTCCTTTTCAGGCTGGACATAAGGAAGAACTTCTTTACTGTCTGAGCCTCCAAGGTTTGGAACAGCCTGCCATTGGAGGTGGTTCAAGCACCTACTTTGAACTCCTTCAAGAGACATTTGGATGCTTATCTTGCTGGGATCCTGTGATCCCTGGTGACTTCCTGCCCCTCGGGCAGGGGGCTGGACTTGATGATCTTCCAAGGTCCCTTCCAGGCCTAGTGTCTATGAATCTATGACCCATTAATCTCTCCAAATCGAATCGGAAGCCTCTGATTCAATTTGGAAAGATTCAACGATTCGGCCATATACACAGCTTTATATGTTTTTTCTGCATACCTCAAGGTACCAGGCATGGCTTGTGAATGCTGAGATAGTAGGGTGGATGGAGCATCCCATGGGACTGTGGGGGAGTCCCCCACATGCTTGGCAGCGGACCCAGAAGTGGAACAAAAGTACTTCCAGTCCACTTCCAGGTCTGCCGCCAAGAGCGCAGGGGACCTCCTCTGCCCCCTGGCTCAGTGACTGGTGCCTCCTAGGTTTTGAGGGGACACCCAGGGTCCTCCCGTGGCTGATCACCAAGCCAGGGGGCACAGCAGGGGTCTGCCACTGAGTGCACAGGGGATGCTCCATCTGCCCCACCATTGCAGTGTTCACAAGCCATGCCTAGTACCTTAAGATACGTAGGAAAAACATAAAGCTGTGTCTATGGCCGAATCACTGATTCTCCTAATCAGAATTGAATCTTCAGATTCAGCCTAATTGAATTAGGACAGTGATCTGAATCAGCAAATCAAGTCACTGTCCCCCGAATTGGGCCAAATCCAAATTGAATACTGCCCGCTTCACACACCCCTAGTGCCTGTTTCTGCAGAGGCCTCTGTGTTCTGCTCTGGGCTTCAGGAACACCTCTTTCCTCAAAGAAGAATGAACCTGGTTCCTTAAAGAAGGAAAAAACAAAACTTTTTCAAATTTAAATGTTCCAACAACCCTACAATCCACAGTAATGTACTCAGCTTATCTATCCACATACTTAGTCCAGCGGAAGTGTCTGTTTTCTCCCATGGTCTTTCTTACTACCCTACTTCACAACTAAATACAGTGCAGCTGTATGGAGACCTCAAAGCTTTTTTTTCTGCCTCCTAAGACTGAGGGAATATTTCTAAAACAGTAGCAGTGACCAATCTGATACCAGAACATACAGATGTAGAGCACGAGAAGAATAGCTTCTAAACTCCAGCTGAGGGCTGCAGCCCTGTTCTGAACCTGTATATAAATGGTTTCTGCCACCATACCTACCCTGAAATTGTAATCTAAAAGTTGCTGTTTCTTTTCAATCTCAGTCTTACAAAATGGAAAGGCATATTCAGCCTTAAAACAACCCAAACCTTGTCATACAACAGGCTGATAAAGGGCCTGTCATCATGGCCAAAACAGCTTATATACAAGGAAGCCAAGATCCAAATTTCCAAAACAGAGTTTTTGTCAACTCTTGACAGAGAACCTCATCACACAATATCAGGAGGAAGCCACCTCTAGAAACACAGAGGTGTTTTCACTTGCTTCTACCTCTCAAGAACTTAGGCCAGGCAACTTTTACTTACTACCCAAAATCCACCAACCTGGCAACCCAGAGTACCCCATTGTCTCTGGCATTGGCACAATCACAGAGGGAGCTTCTGGCTATATTGACTCTATCC